CGGGTGGGCGAGGGCGCGGCGGTGGCGACTCCGGCGGCAGCCTCGGCGGTCTGGGCGGGGCGGGAAGCCCGCTTTCAACCCCGCGTACCCTCTGACCCCGGAAGTGCTTGCCGCGCAGGACCCCTTGAAAAAAAATGAGGACCCGTCTTTTTTAGGTCACAAGATTGCGCCAACCTCCACATGGTAGTTTTTAAAAACTCTTATAACAGCCTAGCATTGAAAATAAAGCACCGATGGGCAGACGCTGTGAGCCCGGCAAGCTTTTAAAACCAACATGCATTTTATTAACTCTAGCGGCACTGGCAAATGTTTGGAAATGTTAGTGTTGTGAATGGTGGATGACACATTATTTTCCCGCCTTACAAAAGGGGTTTGAAAGCGGAGCGACGCGGGCAGCCCCGACAGTAACTGCAGGCGGCAGCTGGGACGCCGCGGGTTTAAAACGTGCGCGTGAGGCGGCTAGAGCGCGTGCGCAAGGGTGTGGGGAGACGGGAGGGGCAGCCGCGGTCTTCCGGGGGGGAGGGGCGGCGAGGCGAGGCTTGTGGGGTGGGTACGCGCGCGCGAGTGCGCGCGAGCAGGCACGTGGGGCCCCTTCGTCCCCGGTGCCCGGGCGCCCCGCGCCAGCCCCTACCCCTGCCCCGGTCCCCCAGCGGCGGCTGGAGAGGAGAAAGACCGAAACCCACCCCTACCACCCCCCGAGTTGCGGCTCTGCTGATGATTTCTGGGAAGTGCTGGAAATATGGCCGTAGAAAAAGAATGGCGTCCATTTACATAATGCTTTGTTTGCATTTTGCAAGTTTCTTTCGGTTGAACCTGCAGAAACCCCACCTCCTAGTGTCGTTTTAGTCGTGGCAGTTTTGTCAGATATTTAAGACAATGGTGTGCCAAGTAGTGCTGTGGGGGGGGTTCTTCCGATTTTCCCCACGCCGTTTAAGCCCCGCTTCTGCCTTTTCTCCCGTTTCCCCCTTGGTGCAGACGCCGCGCCCCGCTCTTCGGGGGCGGCCCCTCTCGAGCCCCGCCATCTTGGAAGGCCTTTCTTGCCGGTTCGCCACTGCACGTTCCTCTCACTAAAGAAAGGTCGCTTGCGTGCCTCCTGTACGTTTATTTCTATCCCTTTCTCTTTACTTCGGCTAAGCCAGGCAGTAAAGGCACACAGACAGATTTGTGCGCAACGTGCTTCAGGATCCCTCAGGGAAAGCGGCTAACGTGGCGGTCCCTCCGCCCCCCTTTCTTCCCCACGGGGTGGCCGCCATGTTTCCAGCACACAAAATGGCGACACGTGGCCTGGATTCTTCGCTAACGAGAAATTGGGGTCGACCCGAAAGCTCCAGAATGCCCCATCCCCCATCCCGTGCGTCTTGGGTGGAGCCTTCCCCCCGCAGCGATTGCTCTGACCACCCTGGTCCAAACCTCGGCTGCTGAATTTTAATGCGTTTCCCCCCATAAATTTAAAATGGAAGTGTTTATAACTGTAAAATGTAGGCATAATACTGAGTTGTTAGTTTTAAATTTAATAATGAGTAATGGGGGGCAGTACCAGTGGATAATTTGGGCCCCCAGTACCGAAGCATTTAGGAATAGCTGCTTTAAGAAATGAAATGGGAAATTACTGATTTGCTAGACTTTTAGCACAGGTCTGTGCTGGAGAGACCAAGAAATGGTATCATAAAAAAACTTAAAAAAAAAAGTTTCCATGAAGCAATTCGGATACCAGTGACCTTTTTCGGAGGCCAGCTGGCTGGTGAACCTCAGTTTACCCACAACTGGTGTTAACTTTTAGTGTGGAGGGACAGAGACAGATGTTATTGTGCATTTACCAGTGCCAGATGCTGTGCTAGCATTTTACTGCATACTATCTTTAATTTTTACAATGATCTTCTTAGGTAGGTGTTACCTCTCTCTCTTTTTTTTAACAGACGAATTCACTTAGGCCCAGAGAGATGAAGTGACTAATTCAAGGTCACACTATGGCGGATGGAATCCAGACCTTCTGATTTCCTTATTGGTGAGCACATTTTCAAATTTTTCTGTAAATCATGGTTTTAGAATTCAGTTGCTATTCGAATGTTTAGGTGAGCTTGTCATTTAAAGGAACCCCTCAGGTAAACTTTTGGTGCATAGTCACCCCCAGTTTGTATCTGTTTGGGGATTCCCAGATTTTCCTGGCGTGAGCTATACCTGTAAGAGGCTCAAATGCTATTTTTTTTTAAATGAGGTGTTTGGGTGACAATAGGGAGGGGGAAATGATTCAGCCCTATCCAAAAGCTGAAGTATCTGTCAATCCAGCCTTGTCTGCAGCACATTTAAACCTACCTGGCTCTGTGGGAGCAAGCAGTTTCTCTGTGTGACTCACTTGCTTCAGCTACCCGTGGGCATGACTTCCGGCTTCCTCACCCTAATGTCCTAACCAAGTAAAAATAAGTATTTTACTTTGGTGCCAAGCCTTCATTTCTCTGCAAATATTGACAGAGCATGACAGCGTTAGGTAAATTGTAGTCTGTGAACTCTTCAGTTTAATGTAACAAATAACTTGTAGGCCAAACAAGGAATATGTGCCTGAATAGGGCTCTACATGTGTGGGTGTTAGAGATGGAGAGAAGGGGTTTTTGCTTCTTTTCACTTACATTAATGTCCTATATCATAGTTTCTGAAGTGCTTTTGCATTACCTTATATAATTCTACAAATAACTTCGGCAGGTGGGTACATAAAAGCAACAATGACAGTAATACTAAGTGCTTACTGTGCCAGGCACTGTGTGAAGCTTTATTCTGTATGATAATTCAGTGGCTCTCATATTTTTTTATTTTGTGGATTTAACTAATCTCTACACCCAACGTGGGGCTCAAACTCACAACCCTAAGATCAAGATTGCATACTCCACCGACTGAGCCAGCCAGGTGCCCCAACCGTTTTAAAAGCAAACCACCATAAGAGATAAATTTTACAAAATAATTCATATATGCACACGTATATAAAACAAACAAAATCTTTGCAAAACAACACTTATTCTTACTATATGCAGTGTACTCTGGTAGTTTCTTTTACGTGAAATAAAAAGGCGCATCAAAATTAAAATGATGAGAAACCCATTATTAGGTTGTGACCAGAATGATTAATATACACATTTAGTCTTCACAAAACCTCCTGAGATGGGGGTGATGTTAATTTCCATTTTGCAGAGATACAGAGGGGTGAAGGATTTTGTCTAAGGCACAGTTATTAAATAGTAAAATAGGGATTTGAATCTAGGCAATCTGAATCCAGAGTCTGTATATTTACCACTATGCAAGATGCAGAGGGCCTTGTCTTATAGGGGAGACAAAATTGTTTAGGGAATTAAAATTAGTAAATGTTAAAAACTGAGGAGACAAAAAGAGAAATTATATATAATTAGGAATTATATCCTGATTCAAACTACTCTGGTCCTCTAAATCTGCCACATACTTATTTTCCCTAAAGAAAATTGTATACATTGGGTGTTTCTTCCCAAGCCTGCCTATTTTAAACCTTTTTTGCTTGAAAATTTCCCCCTGCCCCCCAATAAAGACCTCCCCTTCCCAGCTCTCAGCCTCTCTGTTTTCCCCAGTCCTACAAGCTCTCTCTGCTCCCATAGGCCACATTTAGCTGTTGGTTAAATTGTAATGTGTCTTGGTGTTGATAGTGTGTTGTACAGGCTACAGGTGCTGTGGGTGACCCGGAAATCTGTAGAGGGCACTGGACTTGGGAATCTGTGGCTCTGGCCCCCAGCTCCAGCTCTCCCACTGTCTAGCTTTGAGAAGTTTACAACCCAGTTCAACACTGGGCTTTGGTTTTCCCATCTGTAAAACAAGAGATTAAATGATGTCTTCTAATTCTATCTAAATTTTATCTAGGGAGAGATGATACTTGATGATCTTGGTTCTTTATCTCTGGAGGGGGGGAGGATTATGTAAACATTTTACTCACTTATGGTAAATTCTCCACTCCCTTCCCCAGACCTGCAGTATCTTGTGGATATATGAGTGAATTCCACACCACCCATTTTACAGATGAAGCCACTGAGATATGGAACAATTGACTAAACAGTCACTGCCCCACCCCTGGAGCCTCCTACATGACTCTTCTCCCATTTGAATGACTGCAGGTTAGTTAAGGAGTTTAACGAGGTTGTGAAGGTGAGTCAGGCCTAGACTTTGGAATTGAACCACAGGATTTATATTCCATTCAGAGGAAGGAGTTTTGCTCCCTTTTACTTCACATTGGCATGTTATGTGAAATATTTTGAAGTGATTTCACATTACTTAATCATCACAGACAACTTTGCCAGGAAAGTATTCTTATGCCTATTTTATAGAAGAGCCATCTATGGATCAGAAGAGTGAAGTGACTTGCCCAAGGTGACACAGCTTGTCAGAACCTGAGCTGGGTCTCTCTCTCTTTTTTTTTTTTTTTTTGAGCTGGGTCTCTTGACTATTATAGTTGTGTTTTGTTCTCTCCTTGGCTTCTGATGCTTTGACACATGGAATAATTTTATCTTAAAAAGCTTTCAATCCAGTCTTTATTCTTCTGTCCCAGAGCAACCAGTCTACTTATGTTAGGTTCCTGATACTTTTGGTTTAGGAAAACCTCTTTCCTCTTTTTTCCTCTAATGTTGACATTTATGGGTTTGGGAAGTGGTGGGAATTATTCCTCTGGAGACTCTGGAGGCAGGGACCACATTTTCCCCCCTAATCTACCTGGTCCAGCAAGAATACCATAGCTTTTTAAATTTGCCCTACCAACATGCAGCATTTTTTCAAAAAAACCCCATGATTTCTTTTTTTTTTTTTTACTCCTTCAGAATTAGCTTCTCATTTTTCTTTTATTTGAAATTATAGTAAATTGAGAGGGCCTTGACCCTATCACTTTCTGGGATACTACAGAGTATAGCCTAAGAAATATATATATGTATGTATTTTTAATGATAGTTGCCACTTTATTGATTTAAAAGATTTTATTTATTTGAGAGAGAGAAAGTGGGAGAACACAGAGGGAGAGTAAGAGGGAGAAGTGGACTCCCCACTGAGCAAAGAGCCCGATGTGGGGCTCGATCCCAGGACCCTGAGATCATGACCTGAGCTGAAGGCAGATTGATCGATCCTTTTCCTCCCTTCTTCCTTCCTTCCTTCCTTTTCTTAAAATCTTATTTATTTATTTTTCAGTGGGAGAGAGGGCACAAGCAGGGAGAGTGGGAGAGGGAGAAGCAGGCTCTCCGCTGAGCAGGGAGCCCGATGTAGGGCTCCATCCCAGGACTCTGGGATCATAACCTGAGCTGAAGGCAGACACTTAACCGACTGAGCAATCCAGGAGCCCTACTACCTTTTTTTTTTTTTTTTTTTAAGATTTATTTATTTATTTGGAAGAGAGAAAGTGCACCCATGCACAAGAGGTGGGGGGGCAGAGGGAGAGGGGGAGAGAGTCTTAAGCAAACTCCACGCTGAGTGCAGAGTGCAACTCAGGGCTCGATCTCATGACCCTGAGATCATGACCTGAGCCAAAATCAAGAGTCAGATGCTTAGATGCTACCCTGGTGCCCCTCGCCTAAGAAATATTTCTTACCCATTTTGTGGATAGTAACAAGAGTAATAATACTAATCTCATATACTGATGATCTTGTGCTGCTGTTATGGGGTTATTACTGGGTTTCCTCAGAAACATAAATATATTTGTGTGTTTTACAGAAGTGCCCAGGAGATACAGCAACATTCTTGTCCTTAAGTTCACCTAGTTGGTGAAAGTAATGCCTATGGATTCCCAGGCCTACTCTGACTGAAATAAAGCATGGAGAAGGGAGTGCAGAGAAAAGTTAAAGGGAAAATGAGAATAGAGTGCAAATGCAAAGTACAGAAAATAAGGAAAGAAGGTAAGAAAAGGAAAGAGAAAAGACCAGGGCGGAGGGAAGAGGAGAACACAGGATCAGTGGAAGAGATGTGAAGAAAACAATTCTGAGGTCTTTTTGCCCCTTGTGTGGTGTGGGAAGCATAGGCTGCTGTCTTGCACCAAGAAAGAGCAGCTGATATGAGAACTTCTGAGCACCACATCTCTTTTTTATCCTCTCTTTGCAATGTCAGGTTGGGAAAATTTCCTTGTTTTTGCTATCAGCTGGGGATGTAATTAGGATGCCAGTAATTTTAATATGAGCCTCAGTTCAATTGGTTCATCAAGGAAAATGTGCTACAAAGATCACATAAAGTATTCCAGGTCAAATTTATCTTATTCATTCAGTCAGCAAATACTTTTTCCTTTTCTTAAATTTTTTTAAATTAACTCAACTCCCAGCGTGGGGCTTGAACTCAGGACTCTGAGATCAAGTCTCATGCTCTACCGACCTAGCCAGCCAGGCATTCCAGTCAGCAAATACTTACAGATTGCTTGATATGTCCCAAACACTAAGGATATAAACATGAATGAGATCCTGTCCTTGCCCTCAAGATGTTTATGATCTGGAGAGGGGTACTGACAAGTAAACAGATTCGCAGTACAGTAAGTTAATGTATTAGGATATGAGTAAGCAGAGGATGCTATGGGCTTAGAAGAGGGTCCTTGATTCAGCCTTGGAGGGGATCCAGAAAGGCTACCTAGAGAAGTTGGCATTCAGGCTGAGTCCCAAGTTGGCAAATTGCAAGGTGAAGGGCAGGAAAGGATAACTCTGAGAAGGGAAACAAAGGCCTAAAGACCGAGAGTGCACAGTCCATTCAGAAGTTGAAGGCGTTTCAGAAAGGATGTTTGCATGATCCAGTTTTTGGTGATTATTGTTCTACTGCTTCGGAAGTGTACATTATGAAGACTTGATTATGCTTACTAGAGCACAGAAAGTTCATCTTATTTTGTAGCAGTGATTCTCTTTTAAGATGACATCAGAAATTGTACTTCTGGTCTAGAGATTCTAAGGAGAAAATGTACATAAAGCAGTTTTTGAATTAGCAAATGATTGTTAACCCTCTGTGAGTAAAGGAAAGAAGGTATAGGGCATAGCATATCCCTTTCTTATCCAAGTTTTGGATTTGATTGTGTTCTGCTTTGTTTTCAAGGGGGGTGTGTGTGTGTGGAAATTTAGGGTCTTAGCTGGTTAGGATGTTTGAGTTAGGGAGGAGGGAAGGGAGTTCAAGAATAATTGCTACTTTATGGCAGAACAAAAGAAATACATTTAAATAGCTCATTTCTCTGATCCCACCTACTGAGCACAAGCAAGACTTAGTTGGGAACTTTGTTTCAGAGACACAATTAATTCAACCAGATAAAGCATTTGTTCAGCATTATTTGCTGTGTGAAATCTTTTGTGTCCGGATTAAGCACATTGATTTTTGTTTTTTGAGACATGGTTATAGTTGCATTAAATAAAAACCTTATGTGTATTCATTAGACAATACTGGGATTTTACCTGGATTAAAAGACAAGTACTATGTGGAGTAGGGAAGAAGGTGCTTAGAAAGTAGCACACAGATTCAGTGGTCATTTCTCAGTCATCTTGACCTCTCTGTGGTACCTGACACTCCCTCCTTGCACATTAGTTCCATTTGGCTTCCAGGATGCCACTCCCTTGGTTTTCCCCTTGCCTCACTGGCCCGTCCTTCTCAACCTCATCCCCCTTTTTTGGCTTCTCATCTCTAGCCCCCTTTTGAGTCCTCCTTATCTTCTTAGTCTCTAATGATGGAGTACTCAGATCAGTCTATGCATCCCTTCTCTGTTTACACTCATTCCCTAGGTGCTGTCTTTCAAGACTTTAAATACCATTTGTACCCTGACAATTCTCAAGTGTATATCATTTGTACTGTTTCTGGGAGGGCAGGATTGCTGATAGCTCACTGCATTACTGGCTTTTTGAGTTACAGTTTCTGTTTGGTCTTGTCTTATTAGAGCAGGAGTTTCTTTAAAATCCTGTTACCAGTCTTGGTTCATTTAGATATCTTCTAGGAACCCTCTATCATAGCCACTTCTTCTCAGCATAAGTGAAGGAGTTTACTATCTTTACCTTCCTCCATATCTGAAAATTCTTATCCAGAAACCCTGGTCACCCACGTACTAGCTATTTGGTCTTGAACCTCTCAGAACCTCAGTTTCTGCACTTGTCAAATGGAGATAATGATGAATGACACTTACCTTACTTCTTGTGAGGATTAAATGACTAAATAAAGACTGATTTTGAGAATGGGGGAGTGGAAAGGGGAAAGAGATAGAGGACAATTTTTTTTTCTTTTTGTGGGGGCAGAGGGAGAAGGAGAGAGAGAGAATATCAAGCAGACTCTACACCCAGCATGGAGCCCGACATGGGGCTTGATCTCACGACCCTGAGATCATGACCTGAGCCCAAATCCAAGAGTTGGACACTTAACCGACTGAGCCACCCAGGTGCCCCGAGGACAGTTTCTTTTTTCTTTAGTGAATAATGTATATTTCTATTTTGAAAAAAAAATTTTTTAAAGATTTTATTTATTTATTTATTTATTTATTAACTTTTATCTGCTTATTTATCAGAGACAGCACAAGCAGGGGGAGCTGGAGGCAGAGGGAGAAGTAGGCTCCCTGCTGAGCAAGGAGCCCGATGCGGGACTCAATCCCAGGACCCTGGGATCATGACCTGAGCCAAAGGCAGATGTCCTACCAACTGAGCCACCCAGGCATCCCAAAGATTTATTTATTTTAGAGAGAGAGAGCAGGATTGAGAGCATGCACGGGGGAGTAGGGAAGGACAGAGAGAGAATCTCAAGCAGACTCCCTACTGAGCATGGGGTCCAATCGAGTGTGGGGCCCAATCAAGCGTGGGGCTCAATCCCACAACCCTGATATCAGGACCTGAGCCTAAATCAAGAATTGGATGCTCAACTGACTGAGCCACCCAGGCATCTCTTGAAAAATATTTTTAACATGCGTATGTTTCTTTTCTAGCGAGATTAGTGAAGATTTTATTTTTAAAAACAAAGATGTTAATATATTGTTTTTTATAGAGTGGGAGGGTTTTGTTTTGTTTTTTGGTGCAAAATGGTGATTTTATTAAAGCATGGGGATAGGACCCATGGGCAGAAAGAGCTGCTTTAGGGTAGGAGGTTTTTTTTTCTTTTTACAGATTTTATTTATTTATTTGTCAGAGAGAGCACAAGCAGGGGGAACGGCAGGCAGAGGGAGAAGCAGGCTCCCTGCTGAGCAAGGAGTCCAGTGCAGGACTCCATCCCAGGAGCCTGGGATCATGACCTAAGCCCGAGGCAGCCGCTTAACCAACTGAGCTACCCAAGCGTTCTAGAGTAGGAGATTTTTAGAAAATACTTCCTTGTCTTTCCACCCAGATACTTCTGTATTATGAGGGCAGTGAAATACTAGAACCCCACCCCAGGCTGCCAGGTGAGCTGGTATGTAGGTATAGGCAAACAACCATTTCCTTTAAGTAAAGTTGGAACTCAGGAAGTAGTATTTGAAGAGTAGCAAAGGGATTGATGATAATAATAGCAGCAGTAATAGTAATGGCTAACTGATGAACCAGGTACTTTATGTAGATTGTCTTCTTTTCATAGCAACCACATGAAGGCTGGTGCTATGAGAAATAGAGCAGTGCAGACTTCCTGCCCTGACTTCTCAGCTTTGTCAGTAATTAGCTGAATGGCCTTGAATTAGGAAACTGCCTCTTTTTCCTTATCTAGAAAATGAGCATAATAATAGTACCTGCCTCATAAGGTTGTGATGATTAAATGATGTAAACCATGTAAAGCGCTTAGCATAGTGCTTGGCACATAGAAAGTGCTCACTATGGGGTACCTGGGTGGCTCAGTCGGTTAAGTGGCTGCTTTCAGCTCAGGTCATGATCCCAGGGTCCTGGCATCGAGCCCCACATTGGGCTCCTTGCTGAGTGGGGAGCCTGCTTCTCCCCTGCCTGTCATTACCCATGCTTGTGCTTGCTCTTTCCTTCTCTCTCTCTCTGTCAAATAAATAAAATCTTTATTTTTATTTTTTTTTAAGATTTTATTTATTTATTTGACAGAGAGAGACACAGCGAGAGAGGGAACACAAGCAGGGGGAGTGGGAGAGGGAGAAGCAGGCTTCCTGTTGAGCAGGGAGCGCAATGCTGGGCTCAATCCCAGGACCCAAGGATCATGACCTGAGCCGAAGGCAGACGCCTAACGACTGAGCCACCCAGGCACCCCTAAATAAAATCTTAAAAGAAAAAAAAGAAAGTGCTCACTAAATGTCACGTTACAATAATTAAAGCAGTTGGGGAAGCAGAGGCTTAGAAAGAGGTAAGGTATGCCTAAGTGACATAGCAAATAAATGACAGAACAGTAATTTGCTCCTGGGCAAACTCCAGGGCTCTTGTTTCTTTCTTTCTTTCTTTTTTTTTTTCCAGATAGGCTCCACACCCAGCATGGGACTTGAACTCACAACCCTGAGTTCAAGAGTTGCATGCTGTACCAACTGAGCCCGCCAGGCACTCCGTCCAGTGCTCTTGTTTCTTACCATTATACTGTACCACCATCATGGATTGAAGGGAAGAGATTGGGCATGAACTGTATTTTGTCCAACTTGAGAGGTGAGCATAGATCTGAAGGTCACAGTGGGTTCAGACCCCACATAAGCTTTATTTGTGATCTTAAGCATCTTATCACCATAGCATGTACTGGTTATTCTCTGAAGTGATTTTTCCCTAGATCCAAAGAAATCAAAGAGTGATGGGTCATTTTTGGTCTTCTGCTGAGGGGTTGAGTGTTCCCTGGCTGGGGCCAGGAAGTGGAGCTGAATAAACACCTGTATCTTACTGCTTTTGGACCTAAGTAGGAGCTTTTCCTGTCTCTTGTTACTATGATTGTGTTTCCTAATACAACTGGTAATGATGAGAAGCAGAGCAGTGTATACATCGAGCACTTTATGTGCCATGCATTTGACATGGGTTGTCTCATCTATTCCTTAATGTAACTCTAGAAGCTAGTCACTCTTACCCTCTTTTATAGAAACAAAGAGATTAGGAAACATGCTTAAACTCACATAGTCAGTGCTGGGATTTGAATATGCAATCTGGCTGTAGAGTCTACATTCTTAACCTCTACACTCTACCGTTTCTATTCTTTCCTTACCTGTCTAAAGCACATAGTATGGGGCAGATGGCTTAGTAGGGCCAGTCCTATTTTTCCCATCTGAAAAATGGAAAGCTTTTGACTACTGGGCTAGAAATAAGGAGGCCTGTGATCTTGTCTTAACCTTGTCACCAACGTCCAGGACTTCACTTTCCTCAGCCTTATTGTCCTCATTCATTAAACAAAAGGGTCACTCTAGATGGTCTCTTAGATCCCTTTTAACTCTGATGTTCTGATGGACTTTTTGAAGTGAGGAGAATAATATTTGCTCAGCTCCTTGATTTTGGAGTGGTGGTATTTGTGAGATTTTAGGGACCCTCTTTGTGCAAGGGAGGATGCCAGATTTCAGGACAGAGAATACTGCCTTCCTGAAGAAGGTAGGGCTGGGCTCTTTTTTTGAGGCTGGTTGCCTAGGGAACCTAGCCTCTGGCCAGCAACAGTCAGGAATGCTTTGGTTGAGAGTTGGGTACAGATAACTAAAACAAGCAGCACATTTAGGTTTCACTTTCCCCTCTCCCCTGCCCCCCCCCCACCCCCCAGCTACCTTTCCTTTAAAGCTCCCAGTTTTATACACTTTCTGTATGTTAGTACTTTGTTAAGAAGTTTGCTATTTAATCTTCATAGTAATCTTATCAGATAAGTGTACTATTTTAAATTCGCAGATAATGAAAGCGAGGCAAATAGAGTTAAATAATTTGTCTATAGTTACTCAAGTGGAAAGTGGTATCCAACCCACTGTATTGTACTGCCTGGTTGGAACTTAAAAAAAAAAAGCAGAGGGAGGACTCTATTTATTAATGATGTTTGTTTTGGTTTTGTTTTATTTAGAATGATAGACTCTTGGAGCTGGAAAGGGCCTTTGCGGTAATAGTCAATCTCCTTGTCTCCTGTCTGCCATCCAGTTACAGGAATGCTTTCCATTATCCCCCTGACAGATGATCACCCAAGTTCTTTTTGAATGTTTCCATTGCTGGGGAGCTCATCACTTCTTGAGGAATCCCATTATATGTTGAATAGCTCTCTTTGGTAAGATATTATTTCTTGTTTTGAATTGAAATCTAATTGAGATGACTTCTCATCAGTTTTAGGCCTGTTCCCTGGAACCGTGCAGGATAAATATAATCTATCTTTCACATGCCAATCTTGTGAATGTTTGAATACACTCTTCCTATTTATAAGGCATTTTGCAGTTTTCTCATAGCATCTAAACTTGATTTCAGTTTGGATTGGTCTGCACAAAAGCAGTCTCTGTTTTTTACTGCTTTACAAGTACAGCCTTGCAACAACAAATCTATACTTCATTTCTTATGGTTAGGCACAAAATACGGGCCCTTCCCACATCTTTGGAGAATGAATGGATAGTGAGCTGAGTCTCTACAATTGTATATGAGTCTGGAGGGTTTGCAGTCTTCTCCTTTTGTTATCTCTAGGACATTAGACTGTCAGAGCTTCACGCTGTCAGAGCTCACAAAATGGCTGGAAGTTTATCCGGGCATTTGACAAAACTGCATTTACTTCATCAGGCCACTAGGTGATGAACAACTCACAAACCTAGACTTCAAGAATGGTTGTGTATAGGACAGTTTCTGTTTATACTTGGAAAGGCCGTCAGAAGTCATCTGGTACAGCCTCATTAAAAGGTCTTTTTTGGGGGAGGGAAAACATGTCTTGTGTACACTTTGTCTTTCCCAGCTTTGCTCCAGTTTTAAATATTAATTTGAATAGGATGCTTCTTCTCTGAGTGATTTCTTTTTTTTAAATTTTTTATTTATTTATTTATTTTAAA